AAAATTTAAGAAGGGGCTGACAAAATCGGAAAAGTACTGTACTAGGTGGGGTGAAAAGTAACCTCCTTGACCGCCAGAATGCGCTGCTACTGAAAAAAAGGTTATGGTGTCTTATAGTCCGTTCATATTTAGGCAGATATGTCAAATTTCAGTGCGATACTGTCTTTAGTTTTGACAGTTGATTGTTGTTGACGTGTTTGGCATCATGTTGAGTATGGTTAAAAACGATTTTCGTTCTCTCATAAAACATTATTTTTTGAGAGGCAAAGCGGTGAAGGAAACAAAAGAAAAGTTGGATAAATATTATGGGGATAATGCTCCGTCAGATTACACCGTCAAATATTGGTTTCGAGAGTTTCGTGGTGGCCGCAACTCCACTACCGATCAAGTCCGCATGAAATTGTGTTGGCTGGCCGGAAAGTGAAGGTGCGCGAGCTAGCAGATACCGCAAAGATTAGTACCAACAATCAATTCGAAACTAACGAGTTTAAATTGGTTCACTGCTTGACTAGCCTATTGGTCCCAAGCAAACGATTAACGTATCCCATTCTAGTCGAAATTCTAGTACTACACTATGTTTGTTTTGATTCGCTATGAAAGTTTGACAGATAAAATGAGGGGCTATTGGTTTTTCCTATGTTTCGAGGGGTGAATCGATTAGCTTGGGACCGAAGATAGTACCAGAGGTGAGCCAAAAAGTTGAGCACGTTTCTTCGGGACCTTCTGGTCTTAGAGTTACCTCTATGTTAGTACTGAGCGCATACGCCATATTTTGGGCGAAATTCTGCATATGAAAAAGTTATCCTGCCGCTGGGTGCCGCGCAAGCTCACTCTTGACCAAAAACACGAATGCGAGAGCACTTCGAAAGAGTGTTTGGACTTGCTGATGCGGAATCGGGCGGACTTTTGGCGTCGATTGGTAACTGTTGATGAAACCTGGATCCACTATTACACCCTAGAGAACAGAATGAATGCCCGGCAATGGACTGAAGCCGGCACGAGTGCTCCGAAGCGGCCGAGGGAGGCTCGATGGGTCTGAAAGGTTATGGCATCGGTTTTCTGGGATTGTCATGGCATACTCTTCGTGAACTACCTCGAAAAAGGAAAAACCATCAACAGTGACTAAAGAGCGAACACGAAATTATTGCGACACCGAAAATGTCATGCCAATTTTCTTATAATGTTTAGAATCAAACCAAAATTTTAGGGTAGTTTTATACATATATTTACTTCAAAAATCAAAAGAAAAGTTAATCGATGGAGCCTTGAGTTTAAAATAGAACGCATTTTCGCTTGATGCCCTCCATCAAAGTCTTTACAGTGTCATCCGGTACCAGTTTCTCAGTTTTTTTTTCCATTTTCTTAACATGTCCTTCTCGTCTTTGACTGTCTTCTTGCTCTTCCGAAGTTCCCGCTTCATTATTGCCCAGTACTGCTCAGTACGGACAGTTTGGCGGATTCATGTCCTTTGGAGCAAAATGGACAGAATTGGCTTCATACCACTCCACTGCCTATAATCGCATATCAGTCCCATATGGAAAAAGTAGGCATTGAGAAAATGGCAGTCGAAGTTACGAAGTGCAATTCTCATGTAAATATTTGAAAAATCATAGTAAATTTATTGATATTTTTTTCAAGTTAAAATCTGTCACAATGAAGCTTGCATGTTCTGTTATATCAACAAAAAATATGGTAATTCGAAAAGCAGAACTTTAACTTGAACTATGGACGAGATTGAATTTCAGGATGGGACTGATATGCGATTACTTTGCTAGATGGGACAAACTGACTTGATGTTGTTTTCATATTTTTCATGGCGCTTCTCGAGGCACTCAGATTTGTAGATCTCGCCATTTACTGTGCCCTTTGTCACGAAAGGCTCACTCCTCAGTCCGCAAGAGCAGATGGCCTGCCAAATGAGATATTTGGAGGCGAACTTCGACATTTTCTTCTTCTTAAATTTGTCGTCCACATCGAACTTGCTCTTGCCGGTGAAAAACTCCAACCCCGGAATTTGCTTAAAATCGGCTTTTATATACGTTTCGTCGTCCATCACACAGCAGCCATATTTTGTCAGCATCTTCTCGTAGAGCTTCCGTGCCCGAGTTTTAGCCGTCGATTGTTGCCGCTCATCGCGGTTTGGGAAGTTCTGTACCTTGTATGTATGTAGTCCAGCTCTCTTCTTTGTATTCTGGACGTAGCTCTGCGACATGCCGATCTTTTTAGCCAAATCACGGCTTGAGACGTTGGGATTTGCTTTAATCATCCGCTTCACCTTTCCCTCCGTCTTTTTGTTCTCCGGTCCCGGTTTTCTTCCAGCTCCTTTGCCGTGGTCCAACGTCAACCGCTCCTGGAACCGCTTCAACACTCTGGAGACGGTTGAATGGTGAATGTTCAACATTTTTCCCAACTGCCGGTGCGACAGGTCAGGAAATTCCAGGTGTTTGGAAAGAATTTGTTCTCTCAACTCGCGTTGGTTCACCTCCATTTTCGTTGAATCGAAAAACACGACTTCGAGTTTGACAGCATGTACACAATACACATCAATGAGAAAGTGTGCAAAATTTGGTTGATTTTTACCCAATGGTAAAAAAGTTATGCCCTGTTGAATGTGTCGCAATAATTTCGTGTTCGCCCTTTATTACCAACCGGTGGAAACTAACGATTTTAAATTTGCTCACTACCTGACTAGCCTATTGATCCCAAGCAAATCGATTAACGTACCCCATTCTAGTATAAATTCCAGTACTACACTATGTTTGTTTTGATTCGCTATGAAAGTTTGACAGATACAATGAGGGGTTAGTGGATTTTCCTATGTTTCGAGGGGTGCATCGATTAGCTTGGGACCGAAGAGAGTACCAGAGTTGAGCTAAAAAGTTGAGCACATTTCTTCGGGACCTTCTGGTCTTAGAGTTACTTCTATGGTATTACTATAGAGGTAACTCTAAGACAAGTAGGTCCCGAAGAAACGTGCTCAACTTTTTGGCTCACCTCTGGTACTATCTTCGGTCCCAAGCTTGTCGAATCACCCCTCGAAACATAGGAAAAACCAATAACCCCTCATTTTATCTGTCAAACTTTCATAGCGAATCAAAACAAACATTGCGTAGTACCAGAATTTCGACTAGAATAGGGTACGTTAATCGTTTGCTTGGGACCAATAGGCTACTAAAGTGGTGAACCAATTTAAAATCGTTAGTTTCGTATTGATTGTTGGTATTACTGTGCATTATTGGAGCGATTAAAGGCCGAAATCTCTGCAAAACGGCCTAACATGAAATGAAAAAAAAAATGTTTTTGCTAGACAATGCGCCGGCGCTCAAGAACATCGCAACCACGGCTAAAATCAATGACTTACGGCTCCAATTGCTTCCGTATCCACCGTATTCGCCTGAGTTGGCTCCCTCAGACTATTAGCTCTTCCCAAACCTCAAAAGATGGCTCATCAATAAAAAAAAATCAGCTCACGTGAGGAAATCATCGACGCCTCGGAGGAGTATTTTGCTGACCTTCCGAAAAATTACTTTTCGGACGTGATCCTGAAGTTGGACAATCGCTGGAACAAGTGTATCGGGGACTATATTGAATAAAAAAAAATCATTCCCAAGGAGGATACTTTTCACCCCATTAGTATTATAAACAAACGAATCGCCCCCATTTGTAAGACGCCTGGAGCCGTCTATGGCTATTCTACTACTCTCCCCAGCTACATCCACAATTCGGGGCAGTTACAAATTGCCTACCCGAAAAAAAAATAACAACAAAAATACATTAAAAAACAATGTAACAATAAGACGAAAATTATTGTCTTAACAATGATTTATATTGTTACGTCCACAATAAAATTACATTGATTTATGTTGTACAAAACAATAAATTTCATGGTAAATGGAAAATTTACAATAAAAAAGGGGGGTTGTTAAGTATCTTAACAATGAAATTTTCGTGATTTTCCCATATAGTTTTTTTTCAATAACATTATATATTATTGTTATTTTACTGTTGGTTGGCGAATTTATTGATTAAAAAAAATAACAGTGTACTTTAGAGTGTATGTGTTGGCTTGACAGATCTACTTTATCGACTTTAAAAATAAATCGAAAAAATAAAACATTGCCCCGGGAAGGGAAGGGGGTGGTATGTCTGTTACGGGTGGTCCTTTTTTTACTGGTTATGGATCGAGATTCGATCCGGAACTTGTGAGAAATGCAGGCCAACTCCCCTGCGCTCGATATCCCTAGGTCACGTCTCCTTGGTGGTTGAGCGTCGTTGATAAGTTAATGCATTCGACTGGAGAGAATCGCCCATGAAATATGCTTCCACCTGAGAGTTCTTTCCTGACATCTTCAAGTGGTGGAATTTTTTATTATTATTGTATGATTATTGACTGCACGGAAAAGGTCTCCATTAAGCTTTAGAGAGGGTCTAGGATAAGATATGAGCGGACGCGGATTGCCTGGTTTTGAGCCAAACGAACTGTCACAGCCAGAGCCATACGAGCAGCGCCTATCTTAATTACATTGGCAGTGTTGCTGACCCTCTCATAGTCTGCATGCTTCAATCAGATTTATTTTTATTGTTCGTAAAGTAACCCACAATGAAAATACACCAATATTTAATGTAACAACAATTTTTATTGTAATAGAGTTGTTCATTATTGTTCATGATCGAATCATGTTAACAATAAAATAAATGAAAAATACGATAAAAATCATTGTAACAACATTTTATTATGTACATTCATTGTACAGCTAGGTAGCAGTTTTGCCGTTTTCGGAAGGGTACAACATTATAACAATCATTTTTATTGTCGACAATAAATATTAATGTTAGAGCATTGTTTCCACTGAAAATTTCACTGTATTTTTTTTTTCGGGTAGCTATTTATTGCTTATCTTTCAAATCATCGTATTGTAATTTTCTCCTCATTTTGTCTGATTAGAATCATAGATCTGACTTGGTAGTAACAATTTCATCCATTTTTTGTTTCTTTCCAGCGAAAACACCGAGTGCCCGGTTACATCGTGCAGCTGCAAGTGCTTCGCCAAAGATCTCCCGATGCCGCAGTTTCCACGCGAGAAAGACACCCTCTCCTGATATCAACTGGCGACGTCCTTCTAGAAGGGAACGGAAAAACTTAATTAGCACACTCAAAGTAACTTGAGACTCGGTAAAAGCACAAACGAAGTGACAGACGGAGCGGCTCGAAAACTTTGGTGACTAACCTGCTATTTCAATTTTTCAGTGTATCACATGGCAACACCACTACTACTGGATTGTACTACATGGCAACACTACTACTGGATTGTACTAGCATTTTCACCAAATGTATTAGAATGTTTTGGTTCTATCTCTTTCACTCTACTCAAAACTGAAATGCATAAAAAAATGACAAAATGATACGCACTCTTTGCACACTGTCAAAGAATCATTGTACACAAAATCAACTTTGTTCAAATCAAAACAAAAAACTAACCCATCTGGTGCATGATGGCACAAGCTTCGAAGAAAATTCTGTTACAGTGAACCATATTATTTCAATAGTTTTCTTCGCCAGTTAGTCGTCTGTCACTTCGTTTGTGGTAAAAGTGTATCCGATTTGTTCATTTCCTAATTTTTGATATCGTGTATTCAAAATCGCCGACGATTCACGAATCCCGATAAGTTTTATTTGCCAAAAAAATAATCCCACAAGTTGTTTCTATTAAATCTTTAAATATTTTTTCAAAAAAAAAAGTGGCAATTGAATATTTCCGAAAGCACTACATTTACATTAATCATAAGTTAGGGATGTTCAGACAACGACTGGAAACATTTCAAATTTCATAGTCGCCACTTCGTTTGTCACGCTTAATGAAACCGCTTCACGTTTAGTGGGTTCGAGGCTGTATGTAACAGCTCCCCAATAATTGATTTAAATTTATCATTCATTACGGCTGTGGCGGTACGTAATAGGTACAGTAACAACAACAAGCTGTGTGGGTAATGGTCGTCGCACAGGTTTTCGTAATGAAAATTGCTGCGCGTTATTAGATTTAACCCGGACGGTCATGTGGGCAGTGTTGCTGATTAGAGTTTATTTGTACAGCTATGGTCAATTGTTATAATTCATTGAATTTTACTGCTTTCGAAGGGGTACCTTTTTTTTCGTGCATTGCAGCATTGATTGGTAGTCGTTGTCGTCGGTAAAACCACTACGAAGTCATGCTAGTGTATTACCTTGTAGCGATTCTGTAGTGTGCACTTAAACGATGCGGAGCAAAGAATGCGAAAATGAATGGGAAGAGGAAATTGCCTGACGGGTTGCAATGGCTCGTTGCTAATTAAATCCGTTTTCATAACTTATAAATATTTGCCCACTTAGGCTTGGCAGAAGGTAGTCTCAGTCGGAGGCACCTGACAAGGATGACGAGGAGTAGGAGGAGGATGAGGAGGTCGGCAATGGGATGGTTGTTCCCCTTGCCACTGATTGGTGTAGACCGTAGAGAAAGGGAACAGCAACTGCCGCGCGGTGTGGTGGGAGGTTAAGCATTTAGTTTTAGCTTTGTACTTATTATGATGGCGTTGAGCAGTGTCTTTCCCCTTTTCGGTGTGTGTGCGGTTAATGAATGTAATTGAGACGACAGTATGCCTTCTGGCGTGCGAATAATGGTTATGAAAAGGGGCTGGTTTTGGATATCGATCGGGAATCCAGTGACCCTTGTTCATTGATTGCTCACAGCAGTTGGGGAAATTTAATTTCTGTGTATTGATTGAAGTCGTGTGTCAGGGTGTCTACTACCTAAAAAATCTGTAAAACATTGAATTCTTAGGGAATTTCATCATTACTCAGGGAAATCTTCAATCCTCTTGCCAAGTAGAATTTTAGGAAAACTATTAACTACAAAAAATCTTCTCTGAATTTTAAAACATGTTCCTCTTTTACCCATTGAACTTAATAACTCCGCAGCGGATTAATCTTCAGTAACAACATCAATTTGGAAAACCCTGCGGCTTGAACTGGTATTTTATAGGTTTTGCAATAGGAGGAAACTGCAAGTTAAATCTAAGCATTACTTTCAAGTTAGATCTGAGGAACTCCAGATTCCAAGTGATAGCTAAGATGAATTCCAAGGTAGTTATGAGGTTATTTAAACCACAGCGTCCGTAGACTTCGAAAAATGTCCATGACTCTAAAGTTCAGAATTTTTAAAATATCAGAAACTTTAAGAATAATTTCTAGAATTCCCTTGGAGCTCTCGACAGAAGGCCCTTTGAATAACGCCTATTCTTTGGTGCAAGCAATGGAAATATTCACCTTATTTGACAAAACCCAGGTAATCATGACGTTTGATTATTGAAAACAATTTGAATGAAGAAAAGAGACCTACTGCTGTCATGATTACTTGAGATTTGTCAAATCTCGATGAACATTTCAAATGGTCCTATCTGCTTCGATCGATTCTCTTCATCGACTTTCTCTTTTCATAACCAGTGCTATGCAAACAGATTTCCCTTCTAATTCTATCACATAGTTTGATAAAGGAGGTTCTTATCTATACTAATAAAAATTCAATGATTATTTTTATGTGCCTCCCACATGATTTTTTGCAATGTGATAAACAAATGTTATATATGTGTCGGGCACATAGTTCTTATGTGAACACATAAAATTCATGTGTAACCAAAAAAAAAATATCCCCATCCAACCGTGAACTGATTCTTTCAATGGATATTTTCCACCCATTTTATGATTTCAAAATTCCCCCATTTTTTGACAGCTGCATACATGGTTTGAAAATGGCGGGGCTGGTAGCGATCACTGCTGTCAAAAATAGTGACTTTAGTGACCAAGTTGAAAAAATAAGTGACCAAATAGTGGCTTATAGTTGAAAAAAATAGTGACTAAAAAGTGACCTAAGAGAAGAAAAGTAGTCGTTATGATGGCACACCATATAAAAGTTTGATGTTTTAGACTTATACAATTAGTATCTAATGAACAAACACTGATGTACTATATGAACCTTTAAAGTGAAAGATTCAATTGAAAGTTTACGGTGTTAGTCAGAGTGTCTACTAACTGCAAAAACCTGGAAAACCGGAATCCTCAGGAAATATTATCTTATACCCCGTTCACATTACAACGTATATGACGTGATATACGCTGTCTTGCAATGAGCACTCATACATCTAGTTTTAACTGGAAATCCATTGTATGAGTGTTCATTGCAAGACAGCCTATATTACGTGATATAGGCTGTAATGTGAACGGGGTATTACCTAAAATACCTGGAATTCGCAGATAATTTAGTAAGTTTCTTACTAAGGAAGGATATTTTAAAGAAAATAATGAATTTTAAAATACAAGCATTAAATTTTTCTCGTTATTTTCATTCACACTTTGAGCTTTATAGATCCACAGTTGATTAATCTTCAGTAACAAATAAATTTAAAAAAAAATCAGGGGCCTGAAATGTTCTAGACTTAAAAGCTATTATACTTCAAGAAATTTTCAATCTGAAGTAAAATTCCATCCACGTTTTATAGGCTTTTGGAATTTTATTACAATTTCGAAGGACCTCATTCCAAGGGAGTTCAGTGAAAAAAAATCTTTAAGAAAAACCACAAATGCAATCTGCTGTAAAGGTAGTTCTGGGAAATTTTAGATTTCATGTGAAGCCTGATAGTTTTCAGTAGAATTTAAAAAAAAAAACCCTGAATTGAATTAAAAGTAAATTTTAATGAAAACTCTTAGGAATTTCCGAGTAGCACAACTCCTGTGAACTTCAGAAGAAAATTCCAAGGGCATTCTGAGGATATTTTCATGAAGTTTGTGGGAAAAGCGAATCCGGGTTTCTTATTGTGCAGAATTTCAAGGTAATTCCTGGGAAACCTAAAAGAATTCGGATGATATATTCATCGAAATGTTGAGGAATATTTCAATAGAAATCTCCGTTGAATATGGAATGGACTATTCTGAGGTATTCAAAACTTTTTCAAAGTTCCTAAGTTTTACCTGAAACTAATGAAACTGCCTTGAAGTTTTTTTTTTTGTAGTTTGAGAAACTAGCCTGATGCTCACAATACTTCTCATAAAATTCTTAAACTTCCCTGAACTTTATAGGGCTTCCTAAAGTTTACTCAATTTTTCTAACGATCATGGATATCCGCTTAAGGTTTAACAATTCGCTGAAGATCTCTAAACTTCTTTAACATTTATGTGACTTCTCTAATGTTAACGGAACTGCACTGAGGTTCTCTGTTCTTTTCTGAAATTCTCCAAACTTCTCTAAAGTTTTTGCAGTTCTCATTAAGCTGGTTGTACTGCGCTGAATTTAATTGAACCGTCCATATGTTTACGCTTCCGTGAACTTCTGAATTCAAGCGAAGACCTCAATTAACTTTTGAACGTCAGAAAATCTGGGAACTGCTTTAAATTTTCTGAAACTATTGGAACTGAAACTATTGGAAATTCCTCCAATTTTTGGAGCTTGCTAAACTTCTTTCAAATGCTCCCACAGTTTGCTAATTTGTATAAAAATTCTTGAAGTTCGCGTCTGAAGACCACTGTCCTTCTGTGAATTTTTCGAAGTTTTTTTTTTCTAAATTTCTGGAACTTTTGTGCTCCCACAATTTTCATTGAATTAGATCGAAATAATTAATATAGTTCTATGATTTTCACTGGAGTTCTCAAGATTTTTCTGAAGTTCATGAAACTTCCCTTAAATTAAAGACACCAATTTAAAACTTCTTCAATAGTCTAGACTTTCCTTGTGTTATTAAGACTGCCTAAACGATTACTGAATTTATTGAAAGGAAAGTTCTCCAGACTGCTTTGAATTTATCAGTATTTTTTTAAGAACTCGCAACTTTACTGAAATTAGTTGGTTTGCCTTGAAGTTTCGACAATTTTCCTTAAGTATTATAACCATTATAAACGCTCACTAATTTTCCTGAACTTATCTATGCCTTCCTGAAGTTGTCTAAATTTGTTGAAAAATTTCTGATTTATGGGGGAAATGGCTCTAATGTTGGCCTATGGATCTAAGATTGGACCCATCGCTAAAAATTTGCTATTTATCAATTTATCTAGATGCACGCGTCATTGGGACGGTATTGAAAATTTAGTCGATTGCTGAATTTATGCATGGCCCCAAATTAGGAGCATTTAGGCCGA